TGCCAAGGTTCAAGTTCATTAGCTAAGGACAACCTCAAGGATAATCATGATAAGCAAAAACCATATTTAACTATGGGTATTGACTCTTTGAGCTGTAACATATATAAAAAATATAAAATCGATATTAATTACCTTATAATAAAATCAATAGTACTTTAAAAAACTAGAAAAAATTTATCAATAAATTATTAAATCCATTGGTATTTAATAAACTCACCTCAGGTTGTATCTCAAATGGTTTTGACACCAGGCCGGCCAATTGCCTAGGTGAGGACATGGGTCTTGTGATAAATGGCTTCTCGCACTTGATCATCAAGGTCAGGGTCAAGGGTCGAGGACTTAATGTCTGTCACTTAACCAAGGAGATGCAAAGTCTTTGGTCCTAAGACTAAAAACATCTCTGAAAGAAGGCTACTTTCACTATAAAACACAACAAAATAGCAACAAATTTAGTAAAAAATTAAATAGTTACAACAATATTTTTTCGGATTTTAATATTTTACCAATTAAAATATGTTAATTAATTAAATACCAATAAATTTTAATAATTTACTAACAAGTTTTTTTGTTGATAAATTTAATTTTTCTTAGTGTTTAATTTCAATCCTACATGGTACTCTTTTTCTTTGTTTGTTTGTTTTTTTTTTTTTTTTTTTTTTAAATATAAATTAAAGCTGCCTTGTAAGCCTGCAAGTTGTTCCATCATTTTGCCAGATGTGACAAAATGGGGTCAATTTGATATTTTTTGAAAAAAAAGAAATTAAATTTTAAGAGTAAGTTAAAATTGTAAGGATACAAAGAAAATATTGTAAATTGTAAATATGATGATGTGTTAATATTTTTCATTTTTAAAAGCAAGAGCATTGCAGGGATAAACAAAACATCACCATCAGATAAGTATCTCCTATCTAGTATGGGGCAAATTATTTTGTGCATCATAACAAAAAATATATTTTTAATATGTTAAAAGTACATTATTTGTGTACTGAATATACATTATACAAAATAATGTATTTTCCCTGAATATAATGTGCATTTTAATATACTAAAAATATATTATTTGTGTATTGGATGTACATTATTTAATAGTATGTTGTGTGACCACGTTCCAAATAATAATTATTGATCATAAATCATAATATAGGTGTTGTGGAATGGATCATAAAATTGTTGAGATGATTTTTGTGGGCAAATTATGCCCCGGACCCGTGTCCACAATGCATTGTGGACACGAGTCCAAAACGACGTCGTTTTTAAGAAAAATGCGTCATTCCAGTTAAAAAAAAATTGATTTTGTCTCGCCGTTAACGACGTTATTCATTTGTGCCATTATGAATGTACAGTTATGAGATTATGAATGTACAGTTATGACATTATGAATGTACAGTTATGACATTATTAATGTAAGTTATAAAATTATAAATACAGAATTCTGACATTATTAACTTACAATTATGAACATATAGTGATAAAATTATGAACATAGAGCTCTAAAATTGTGAACATGGAGCTTCTAAAATTATGATTTTACAGTTATTGAATTATGAATGTACAGTTACGGAATTATGAATGTACAGTTATGCAATTATGAATGTACAGTTATGCAATTATGAATACAGTTATGAAATTATGAACACAGAGCTCTGACATTATGAACTTACAATATGAACATATAATGATAAAATTATGAACATAGAGCTCTAAAATTGTGAACATAGAGCTTCAAAAATTATGAAGTTACAGTTATTGAATTATGAATGTACAGTTACGGAATTATGAATGTACAGTTATGGAAATATGAATGTACAGTTATTGAATTATGAACATAGAGCTCTGACATTATGAACTTACAATTATGAACATATAGTAATAAAATTATGAACATATACTCTTATAACGAATCTGGAAAAAAAAAAAAAAAAAAAAAAAAAAAAAAAAAACAGTGCCTAAAGATACTGTTACCGGTGTCCAGCATTGCGGGTCCATAGCATAACGATTGATTTTTGTGTAATTGGGCTTTGTTTTCTTGTTTTTGTTACAAGATCTGAAATCTAAGGTGCCCATATACATGTCTTTTATCTTTAGCCCAGCTCTTGCGTCTAAAATATGCAGAACGTAGCGAAGAATTTTCGCACATACATGCCAGCGGCATACCAGCTTCATCAGTCTGACAAATACTAATCATTTCTTTTTAATGTTTGAATTTATTTGAACACTGATGAAGTACCATTTCGGTAGCCTGTCCTAGCTTGGATTCACGTACTATTAAGGACAAAACATCAAGATTTGATTTGGGGGTTGAGAGATCTGATGAATGGTGAAAACTACAATGCCATTCTTGTCTTACACAAATTATTATTATTTAATTAAAAGGGTAGAAGGACTATAATTGAAGTGACTGAAATTCCATTTTAGCTCTTATCCTTGCACTTACGTATCGAGCTCCAACGCTAACCGATCGAGTTGTCGATTTTGTAACTATACTCCAAGTTCGAATCCGTGGGGATGTCCAGATCAATTATGGACAACCTATATATTTTTTTTTCATTGATCCTCTATCGGCTAATGTCACAACATTATTCTTGGATAGTAATTGCAGACAAAAAAAAAATATATTTTTTATTTAATAGATGGCAACGATATATATATATATATATGTGTGTGTGTGTGTGTGTGTGTGTGTGTGAATATCATCTTTTATTGGATTACAGTTCAAAAAGTCAAGTTCAGCACTCAGCTTCCTGCCATCAGACTCTATTACGCAAATATAAAGAAATGCGCTTTTGACGGCTATAACTTTTGACATAGTGGTAACGGCTAATCCTACATCTTTCAATTATCATGTGATGGAGCTAGCTAGGTAGCTAGGCATATATGCACGTCCGTCCTGTGCGAATCAAAACGTAGGCGCATGCAGTTGATTCCAGTAACACTACAAACAAAACGAAGCACTTCTCATAACCTAATGCTCATCTCATCTTGTTTTTTGCATGCTTCCTTTCTGCTTGGAGCCGAGCCCTAGCAATGGTCTATGTAATATTGTAATAAGTACTTTTGGCATAGTGTAAATACTCATCTTGACAATTGGTATCAGAAGTGTTCGTAACTTGGACGCATTTTATATCTTTAAGAAAATCAGATGTACAGTACAAAAGAAAATGAAACAAAGCGGAATATAATGGATGGGTGAAGTAATAATTGGAGCAAATAGTAGGGAGTAAAGATGAGAAGGGACAGAATTCAGAAGGAATAAAAGTACAGATGAGAGGCATTGGATTCCTTCAATTTCCAGCAGATAGTAAGATTTAGTAACCTGACAAACACCAAAGTGTGAACTTGACTAGACACTATCAACATATATGCATATGCTCCTGTCTCCTTCCTGCACATGAACAACATATATAATTAAACTAAACATAAATATATATATATATGCATGAAAACTCCCTAAGTTTTACTGTGTTTATTTGCATTCAATTCTGCTCACAAAACAGCACATTTCCCTATTATTACCTTTCACAATAATATAAACATCAATCAATACAATGTAACACATAACCTAGTAAATGGAGTGACATTTCAACTGATCAAATACAAACGTTTTTATCATCAAAAGGTATCGTAGTGAGGCTATAGGCTGATGATTTTGTCTTTTGCTGTGGCTCTATGTGAAGCTAAAAACCAATTCCTGTGGAGGGGCGGGAATGAAAGGTTACAATCAATCACTAAAAGCAAACAGAAAAACTGAATTAACTAATCCAAGTAATCATCAAAATCTTGTCCTTAAGTCTTAGGTAATCATTCCTATCGTGACCTTAATTGGACAAAATATTTGGCCGGCTCGAACGGATTCTCTAACCTTTTCTTCCCCGTCATGCACCGAAATCGTCTCTTTCCTTGGATGTCTAGTTGAGTACGTAAAGTTCAGCCAAAAATCATAGTTTATTAACACTCATACATATAATTAGAGGAAGATACATTATGGAGCTTCGCACCATACACTTCACTACAGTAACAAGTGACATAGGTAGCTCTTCGTTATAACAACCGCCGGCATCAAACGAACTAACAGCTCTCTGGATAGCTTTCACTCATCCTTATTTCTTGACGTCATATAATCTTCTTCTGGGTAGTTCTTGTTTACTAGACTTTGATGGTCAACAAGATTATTATCAATATGTACTTAAATAATTAAAAATAAAAACGTCAAATTTAAGAGACTAATTTCAATAATCGAGATAATCAATATCACTTTACAATTTCTTATTGAGCTGATCAGGGATTCAATTATAAATAGGTTTTAGGAAGCTATTAGGGTTTGAAGAATGACATGTGGAATATGAAACTTGGGGAGGATAATAAACGGGTATTGTCATATGATTGGTCAAAGAATGTAAGCTAACTATACAGCCATAAATATATATTATAGTAATGGAAAAATCCAGCAGCAGAATATTTTAATGTAATTTATTGGTCGTGTGGTCCTTGAAGCTTGTAACTACGTGCAGCAGCCAGCAAGGATGTATGATAATGTTCCACCAGATACTATTGGCCTGGTTAACTAAATAATTATCCCACGAGGCCACCAGAATTATACAAACAAAAACGTCAAATTCCATTTGTACGCTAACCAATAGCAACACAAGTAGATGAATATAGGGAACTTCTTACTTTCTTTAACCCTAAATAACACTATAATATTCAACAACACCCAGCCAAGTTAGTGAGACAGTTTCAATTCATTCCGTACCCACAAAGTTCCAAATTGGACTTCATATTAGAGCTGTCTATTAACATTCTTAATTTGAAACGGTCAATTATGGATAACTGTACTCAAACTGGTTTACCTTCTTGTGATTTTTTTACCTGTTTGAGTTACACGATAGACTAACTGTAAATCAAAATAATACTATATATATGTAGTTAATTAACATATAGTCTTTAACAATATAATGCATTATGCATCCCCTACCCCCACCCCCCACCCATCCTAGCCTAGCTATATAAATGTGTGTGTGTGTGTATATAAGAAATATTGATTTGTGTATATATATACTAAGAAAAGGGACACACAAGGCATATGATAATAAGCATCTGTGGCTCATCAAGCATCCTCCTCTAGTTAAAGAAACAAAGAGACATCAAAGTACTATGAAAGCAGACCTAAGAGGGAACCCAACATCCTTTCTTTTCCAAAACCCTAACCTTTTCGGCAACTCTCCTCAACCCTCCTCTGATCTCACAGGCGCACTCAGAGGATGCAGTAGTAGCAGTCTTGGCAGCCTTGACGGAGCATGCACAGAGAAGCTCTTACTTCACTGCGCAAGTGCGCTGGAGACCAATGACGTCACCCTGGCTCAGCAGGTGATGTGGGTGCTCAATAACGTCGCTTCTCCCATGGGTGACCCTAACCAAAGGCTCACTTCTTGGTTCTTGAGGGCCCTCGTTTCCAGGGCGTCTAGGGTTTGCCCTTCCACTTTCGGCGGCGGCAATGGCGTTCACACTAGGTTGATGACTGTGACTGAGCTTGCAGGGTATGTGGATGTTATTCCCTGGCATAGGTTTGGGTTTTGTGCGGCGAATAGTGCCATTTTAAGGGCGGTCCAAGGGGAAAATAAAGTTCATATTTTGGATTTCAGCATTACTCATTGTATGCAATGGCCGACTCTCATTGACGCCTTAGCTAAGCGGCCGGAAGGCCCTCCGTTCCTCCGAATATCAGTCCTTTCATGGCGGCCCTCCGTCCCTCCCTTACTTAACGCGTCGTGTGAACAACTCGGCCTTCGTCTCGCCAAGTTCGCGAAGTTCAGAGACGTCCCTTTTGAGTTCAACGTGATCGGATCAGACTATATCCCCCAAGAATTCCCAGATTTTCACCACAATTTCATCCTAAATTCTCTCACCCCTCCCTGTCTGAATCTCAGGGACGACGAGGCTTTAGCAGTGAACTGCCAGAACTGGCTGCGCTATCTTCCTTGTCGCGACACTTTCATCGACGCAATCAAAGGTTTAAACCCCAGCATCGTCACCATAGTCGACGAGGATTGCGATCTGGGCGCTCCCAGTTTAGTCTCGAGAATCACGGCATGTTTCAACTACCTATGGATACCCTTTGACGCCCTGGAAACATTCCTGCCGAAAGACAGCCCCCAGAGGATCGAATACGAGGCTGACATCGGACACAAGATCGAGAACATCATCGGATTCGAAGGGGACCAGAGGATAGAACGGTTAGAATCTGGGATGAAACTCTCGCAGAGGATGAAGAACAACGGGTTTCTCAGCGCGCCGTTTTGCGAGGACACCATTGGAGAAGTTAAGTGTTTGTTAGATGAACATGCGAGCGGTTGGGGAATGAAGGTAGAGGACGACATGTTGGTTTTGACATGGAAAGGGCACAGTGCAGTTTATGCAACGACTTGGGTCGTCTCACCTCAAACTCAAGCCGACATTGAAATCAAAGATTAGATGTAGTAATTGCAGGATTAATGTAATAAAGTGCGATCTTGAATTACGTTAAACTGGACAACGTGGGTAATTAGTTAGGGTGTCACTGTATGTATGTATGTGGTCCATTGAGAAGAGAAGAAGAGGACAATAACAGATATGGGATGTGTTTTCTTAATCAAAATTCTGCTTTTCAAAGGAGACAAGAAGAACATATGACTGTAGTTGGAGAATGGGTTGGTTTCACTTTTTGGATTTGGTTATAGCTGTAAGGCAAGGAAAGAAATGTAAATAATGTCCTTATTTTTGCTCCTTTATATTCCCATACTTTTGTATGTATGTATGTTCTGCCTTTTCTAGCGATCAATTATTATTTTTCCAAGATGATATTCTTTTTGTTCTTCTGATTGTAATTATGACGTAGAAAGAAATGAATAAATGACATGATGTTGCAAATTTGGGCTTGGAATCTTGCTTATGAAGTTCATAGCAGGCCCAACGCAGTTCTCCACTTTTGGGTTTTCTTTCAAAAGCCCGGAAAGGCATGATCTTTAAAGGAAGACTTCAAAGGTGAGAAATCATACAATAGTTATGCCATGGACCCGGTCCACCTTGCAAGGTGGACCCGGATCAAAATACACATTTTATATACTGAATATTCATAATTTACATACTGAATGTTCACAGTTTAAATTGTGAACATTTAGTATGTAAATTGTGAATATGTAATATATAAAATGTGTGTACTATGGTCGACACAATAATTTTAGCTAATTTTGCTTTTGCCCGCATGGGTAGCTCAACTGGTCATAGAGATGAAACTTTGGAAGAATGGCCAGGGAACAAGTCTCACCAGTAACCTCTCAAAGTGAGGGGGGCTCCTTGTGTGCAGTGAGCACCGCTCTAGCCTTTGTGATTAATGTTCAGTTGAGTTGTGGGCCGGGGTGTGGGGGACCCTTAGGGGTTGGGGTTCAGCCTTTTGGAAGAAGAAAGTCAATATCTAGCTTTTATGGAGAGTTGACGTGGAATTTTGTAGTTACTAAGCGAATTGTGCAACCAACCCAATTGGAATATCGCCTATTTCCAATTACCTTTTTTTTACATGATCGATGGAATGATACAACATTCCTTACAGTCAAACGTAGAAACAACCTCCCTAGCAATGCTACAGAAAACTTGAATCACATACCGTTTTACAAATTTAAAGCTGAATTCGTTTGAAGAATTTAACGCTTCTTTAACATCATTGATGAACTGATCAAACGCAGTCAAGACTAACTTTGGGTGAAAAGCCTTGCACACCACCTGAGTATCTATATTCATTCTTACGTCCATTGACAATATGTCCATCAAATTGGACTGCAAATACTATTTTTCATTGCCGTCTTTGTCACCATGATAAAGTTCACATACGCTGTGACCATTTAAATGCTTCACACTTATGAGAAAAAGAACTCGCCAAAAGGAACAAGAGGAAAACAAACTTGTCACACGAACGAGAGAAAAAGCACAGCAACACACAAAATTATAACGAAACTCAAAGGAAAATTAAAGAGAAACATCACTGCACCACTTTTGGATCTCTAGATCTTTATTTTATGGATCCACAAAACCAAGTCACTTCTTTACCATTAGATCTGGATCTTTGATGACATGAAAGTGTGAAACCAGAGTAAACCAGTGGAAAGGACAACGATCTGCACCGCCGGATCTGGTGTAAAAGGCACTGCCGGCTCAAAGCTCCATCGAAGCTTTGGCCAGAGGCCCACTGCAAACCACAGAAAGATCACCAAGTAAGGGAAGATTGGAGAAGAAGAGAAGAAACTTTTAGAGAGAGATTTTTAAGTTTCAAAATTTGTAAGACACTTTAAAATTCCAAATATCTTTTTTATTCACTTAAAAAAGACAATTTTTTTTCAAAATTTTAACTTTTTTCCAGCGTACTTATTAATGATGAGAAAATTTTATAAATTTAGACAATCACGAACAATTGTTGTCAGTATAGTTATCTAAAATTTTGAATAAATTTTGTTAATGGTCAATATTATCGATCACTTTCACTTAGCAGCCAGAAACATTTATATGCATTTTTTTTTATAGATAAATCTTTATTATAAATCACAACTTAAAATTTAGACAAGTATATTCTTACCACTTTTCAATAATCAAAATTTACAATTTTTCTAAATGTGTGTTCATCTCATATGAGTCATATTCAATTCACATCCACACCAATGACCAAACCCAAGACTAAATGTTCAGCTGCATTATTTTATTCAATAAGATTTAAAAAAACTGGGCTAGAGTGGCATTGATGGCCCTGAAAAGATTCATCAATCTCAAAGAAGAACATGCCACCCATTTCTCCAGGACTCAAAACTTCACTGCATCTTCTAGGGAATGAAGGGAGAAATGAATATATTAAACATCATATCACGTGCGCTGTGACGACCAACCATTAATTTTCTTTTCTTTTCTTCTTGTAATCTTGTCTTCAATAATGTTTCTTGATTTTCCGGTATCCCTCCCTATCCGAGAGCCGTCACCACACCTCATCCACCAACACCGCCTCACGTGCCCATTCTCGGACTCGTACTGTTTTCCACCAAATTAAACTATTCCTCGTTTCCATACCAACGAAAGTTAATTTCATTATACTCGAGAACTTTGAACCAAACGAGGCATTGTTTTCTGTTTTCTCATCTTCAACCCTAAACAAACATATGAAATATATTAAACTAAACAATAACTCGTGACAAATGCCTAATTTTATTTCTTATTTTTTCTAGAGGTACAATGTTAAATTTGATATTTTAGGCCTCTGCCCAACAATTATTGTAGTCACTTAATGTCAGATTTAACCTTCCATGCAACGGAAATGAACCTTTATAATAGATCCAATCAAAACTCGAGTTTCTTAAATACTAGTGTATAGTCACTGAAATAAAACCCAACAAGGTAGCTCAAGTGGCAAAGGAGCTTTCTTTGTGGGAGAGAATTCTGAGATAACCCTGATTCAATTCCCACAAGTGACGATTTCCGAGCGAATTGGGTGGACTTGGACCGTTAAACGGACAGAGAAAAAAAAATTCACTGAAATTTTGTAATGCACTGGAATAAGATTTGAATTAAATTTTACTCCCCCTTGTGGAAACGGTGAATCATGATTCATGAATGCATTTTTACAGGCTTGGGGTGATGAAGAAATTGCAGGGCGTGGGTGGTGAAGCTGGTAAAAGTGAATGCATTTTTACAGGCTTGTGGTGATGAAGAGATTGCAGTGCATGAGTAGTACGTGTAGTTGGTAGCTAGCACGGATTTGTTTACTTATATATATAAAAAGAGTGAAAAATCAAATTGATCAGTGATCTTTTATAACTTTATTTAAACAAATAACTTGATGTTACTCGTCACAAAATCTCTAATATAAGAATGGAAGGTTGGATTGTAGGAAATGCTTTCTTTCACTCACAAATAGTATATATTGTCACCTGACATGTCATGTAGGGCACGGTGCACTAATACAGTGGCTTTAGTAAATAATGTCAACGATCAACCAATCCCCTCTACTCTCTGCCACCATTGCCGTACGTACTATGCTACTAGCTTAACCGGTGTTTGGTTGAAAAATGAATTCTACTACATGTACTCTCTAATGTGGTGAATTTTAATAAATTATTTTTTGTCATGTGGGTCTCAATACGAATGACTACATTAAAGTTTTGTGTGTGGGAGTACAAAGACATGTTTACTCATTTTTTAGGGGTTGGTCACATCGCAGGTCGTGAAACCAACACCAACAAGTCCAAACCAGACTTGATTGGATTAATTTCATCAATTATTGTAACAATATTTTTGAAAGAACTGTCTTATTATTGTAATACGGAGTAATATTTTTGAAATTATGAAACACATTGTTTTGAATGGGGGAAAGAAATGGCACGGCTTGGTGGTACAAGGTGCCTGCAATGAAATTGGGCAACGACAACACAGTACACAATACAATTGATTAGTAGGGGCAGGGCAGTGGGGTTTTTAAATAGAGGTATGGTCACTTGTTCAGTACATCCCCATGCCATAAAGCTAAAGTTGATCTCCCCAAGCAAAGCATTTAACAGTGATAGTGAGTTTGATGTTTCAATGTTTCTTCTCACTTCTCACTGCCCATTATAGATATTTTATCGTGTCATGTATGAGGTACAGTACTAATATTTGATTTTTTAAATCTTATATATAATCACCTACTCGTGTACAAATAAAATTAAAAAATCTTAATAGTAGCGCTCGCGATTGATGTTGCTAAAAGCATCCTCAATAGTTGTAGTTTTTTTTGAGGAATTCACCGGTGTAATTAAAGAGAAGATGGGAGGGAAGAGAAAAAAAAATAGAGCTGAAAAAAAAAAAAAAACTGAAAGCATCATTAACTCGCCGTGACTAGATGCTTGGTTGCGCTTCACACGACTAAGGTGTCAAAATCAGAGATTTTGATGGATCCCACAAATCTGATAAAAACCGATATCTTGCAGTGAAATTTTTTTTCCTCGCTCCTCCACATAAACCTGCTTTCTCAAAAATCACACCAAAAACCACATTAAAAAAATCACTAATAACGATGATCATCTAATAATCGTTTAGCATAATGTTATTTATTTAGTAATTATCATAACAATAATATAAATTTAATATACAATGTGTTAACCCATGCAATCTTCATGTTCAATATGTGCCAGCTCATTTGGAGGGACTTGATGGGATACATGAGGCATATATTATAAGGAAAATCATATACACACTCCTACTTTTTACCCTTAACGTATACTCCCTTTCATAAATTCTTGATGTAAACACTTTTTATGTGACTCACATAATGAAAATATTATATCATTATTTGTCATGTCAGTTAGTAAAAGTGAGGAAGTAGAATTTAAGAGTACATCTAGTAGAATTTTGCTGTTGGAAAAATTAGCTTAAAATGACATAAAATGACATATTAAGTGACTATTTTGTGGTACAATTATCAGTGGGGTCCACTTCTGATTTGGATCGGGTCAAAGTGGATTCGGGTTCTTCGTAGTGAGACGAAAAGATTGATATATTGTACGCTCAAAACGGATAATGGGTGAATGAGATATTGATTCTCAAAGTAGACCCATTTGAGTTGGGAAATGAAGGGAAAATAGTGGACTTTGTCCCACATTGGTTTGGAAACAAGATTTGCCCCCCTTATATACATGAGCTCTTTTGAACCTTGTAGAATTGTATAGCATAGAGGCTCTCTTGCGGGGGGGTGTGCAAATCAAAATCCATCTGATATAGCCACTTGGTTCGGCCGAAATCGAACCGAGAGGACCTACTCTCGTGCATTTGTGACCATATCACTT